AAGGATAAAATTCCTATTGTGAAGGTCTCAGAAAAATCAGTCCAACATAGTTTCTAAAAGATTAGTCTCTTTAGTCATTTGAGGACCAAATAGAGCTCTTAGAGAGCAAACTTAAGAGAACTAATCTGCTTTTGAATATGGATATTTGTTAGGATATTCATCCAATATCCTAAGAGAATTATTGATCAATTCCTATTGGTTAATTCCTACTGGTCAATTTTATGGTCGTCCTAGATATCAATGTCACGTGCTCCAATGTTATTTCTTATTGGTTGTCCTGACTATCAATGTCATTTCAAATTTCGCTTCCTATTGGTTGTCTTAACTGTCAATGTCACAGACTTCGATGCTGTTTCCTATTCTATCAGAATGTATAATTACGCATTATGTATAACGTTTGATGACCAGGACCCGGTCCCGGATCCCGATTCTCTTCTGGACTTGGACCTCATACTTTCTGGATGCTTGTAGAATACAGATTCCACTTCATATCAGGTCTTCTTATTTTTACTCAATATGGGGGTTGGGATAATCGGATCTGAGTAGCATGTCGTGTCGCCGGATCTAAATAGGTAGACTCGTAATAGTTTAAGCATATCAAAATGACGTGTTTACGTGCAGGTGTAACAATATGGATGTACATATAAAATATTCACAAATAGAGAGCTCCTGAAACACAGACGTATTGTCCTATAACCAAAAGGTGGTTTAATTTCCCGACTTTAGGCAGAAAATAGTGCCAGCAGGTTCAGGATGCGACTACCTAACTTCCTATAAAAAGTAGAGTCGGACGAAACGAAGCGTGGTCTCAGTATATGAAATCATTTACAACTGTAATGCGTAATGTTGATAGGTCTAGACTACCTGGTTGTGGTTTGAATGATTTTGGTGGTCAGATACGTGTCTAAGAATAGTCTTCACTATCTTAGATGAATAAACTTTTGTTTTATCCTACTCTCAACTTTTAAATAATTGCTTATATTATATAAACTGTATTTCTAATTTCTGGAGCTTTGAAAATTACTTCTAATCCCATTTTCTTTGTTGTGGTTTGAAGCAATCTGTATTGTTGGATATTTTTCTGAAATCTACAACTGACCCTGCAACATATTTGAGTTCAGTAACCTAATGTACCTTTATTCATGTGTGATTGATTCTGTGGCCAGTCAAAAATAAATAATAATTATCCTGAGACATATTGGGCCTAATTCATTGTACAGTTACGGTTATAATTGTTTACAATAATAAGTGTTTCCATTTCAGCAATTGTGTTCTCTCCATAAAAGCATTCCACTACATGTTCTTGTATAAAGCCGTTGATTTATGTACACAAATGTTTCACAGTGTATCAAAAACAAAAATTCAATTGTTTATCAGACGACGACGACTTTTATAATTTCGATTACTGTTAGTTTTGGTAGTCGATAGAGTCAACATTTGATGTGTATCTCAAAGAAAAACTAATTAAAATTCAGTAGATACCCAGTTTATTTACACCTGGAAATCCTAGAAATCATTGACAGCACTTATTTTTAATGTATTAGCACCACAAGTCCACTGAAATTATATATATACAAATGAATTACAACAAAATTGCGTTTTGTTTGCTATCAACTATACTCACTCATTTATGTAGATGAATATCTGTCACTGTGAAAAGCAACGGTAAAGTTGATTGATCACGTGAACACTAATGAGAGCTGAGAATTATAACAAAATTCTGACATTATTGCACACTCATCAATAAGAAATTTTATATAAGGATTCTTCAGCAAAAGGCTAGTGTACGAAGAAACGATGCAAAATATATTCTATTAGGTGTTTAGAATCGAACTGACTACATCAGTTATAAAAGATTCAACAACCAGAAGGTAATCACATGTTTATGCAACTTCTTAGTCGACTACTCACAACTGACGCGTCTTTTATCCTCTCAATAATCAACTGAGCAGTTCCATTAATCTCTAATATTTGTGGTCATGAAAAGTCTTTACGGCTAGCTAATCCAATATCTTTTTCACGAGCCATTATGAACCAATTGATTTCTTCCAGATCAATTCTTGTTCTTTCGAAACGGTTGAGTAGTGAACTGAATACAATGCTTAAGGTATCTTACTTAATATCACAGTTTGTTGTGCTTTTTTGTCAACTTGTTGGCGTTATGCGATAATGGACAGTAACTGTCAGTTTTCTCAAGAAAGGTTTAGTCATTTTCATAGAGCAAGAACCAAAAGTTAGGTTTTCAAATATCTTCAAGATAAAGTTCCTTCTATCCGTACTTCTATACTAGGCTATATATGTAATATTCAGGAACAATCGTGTCCCCACAAGTAAAGCAGTGTGAACCAGTTTTGTGGTTACTGGCGCACATGTATCGATATGTTTAAAACACAGTGGTTCATCGAACATTCGTGGCACTGGTTCTACATAAAATAAACATGAGGGTACAAATTGAAAGTATACCAATTTATATTCCTAAAATGGATGCAACCTATCTATAGAAAGATTAGGAACCATAGAACTAACAGCTTCACCCTACTGAATGCCATTTTCATTCACTCACAGGTGAATAACCGAAAGTGTGAGAAAACTAGTAAACAAAAAGTTATGAATCCCAGAGACTGGTTGTTTGTTAAAAACAATGAGCAGTTCCAACAAATAAAAAAAAAGTACTTCAATCTTCAAAGGAAAATTTCAAAGTAATCCATTCAAACACATACAGTCACTGAGTTGTAGTGAAATACTTTTACGAAGAGAAAGCGATTGGTTTAATAGAAACATTCATTATTATAAACAATTATACACGTGATCGTTTAACTGTACTTTTTGTTTATAATACTTTTTACGCTCAACTTTCTATGTGTTGCCGCCACTTGTTCCTGTAGCTACTCTTTATTTCGCCCATTTTCCTGGTTTCATATCGGTGTTCTTTCGACACCATGAAATCACCAGCAAATATATTCTTTAACCTGGATTTATTCATCTTCTCAGTGACGGGTTCGTAATAAGTATTTAGTGGTGATCATATTCAATCTCGACTCGGTCACCACTTAAGAGAGGCAGCTGCCATAAAAACAAGTCAAGTAGAATAGGATTATTATCGACCAAGGACTAAAAATTTGAAGACTGCTGAATAAGGGATAATTATGAGTATACATCAACCCTAAACTTGTTCTGGATCAAACATTACACAGTGTATAGAGGAAACTTAGAGTAATCAGGAATAAGCAAAACCCTGGTACCACATACAATCAATATGAGTAGGACATTCTCACTATCACGCATAAACATACAGCAATTCGATTGTTACCAGTAAACATTTATATGAGTATCTCTTGGAATTTTTATCCATCTCGTTCAGTATGATCAACCTCTTCTAAAAGTACACAAAATTAATTGGTTCATACGTGGAGAAATCCGAATACTTCACTTCTGTCTGAAGTTTGTGCTGATGATATTGTTCAGAAGAACAATGAAAGCTCTACAAACAAAACATCCAGCCCAAAGAAAGGTACTCCATCACGATTTCATATGGCTACGAGTCTATAGCCACTACCATGGAATTCCTACTAACTTTTTGTGATGAGGGTATTGTTCACGAAATCGAGGTGAACAGCGAATGTCTGGCAGGGGTTAAACGGAATTGATAAATACACAGAATCCACCTAGGCGAGTTTCGAAACTTAATTCCAAACTAAATGCTGTCTGAACCTATTGTCGGTCACCGGCCACGATGGGACTACATCTGTTGACGCTGCTCCATTGCATTATGGATCAGATTCTAGGTTTGACAGTCGCGAAGTGGCCCTCTTCTGTGAGAAAATCATCTGCTTCGATTTGGGCATGCAAGCAGTATACCGACTCACGCACCTATTGAATAAGTTCTGTTGCGCATACATATTTCCGTGCCTCTTTATATCAATGTTTACTTTGTTTAAATAAATAATTTAGTTATTATACTTAGCCCATGCCAACCCTTCTTTATCCGGGCTTCAGTCAGTCAGTCATTTGCATCGTAGAACTTCGTACGTAAGTACATCAGTTCATGTCGGTATACCACATCAGCACAGAGATATAATTGTCAATTCAAATCCAATAGTAGAAGAGGTAGTAAAGGTATTAGAAGTAATCGGAGAGGTTAGGATTAGAAGATACTATTCAAGAATTATGATTCAGTGAGATAAGTTTAAAAAGTCAAAACCAGAGGTGTTGAAGAATCCAGAAAATTAGGATTTGAGAGAACACAAAGAATAAATGCACCGGCGCCATTGCAAACGATTTTGAGCCATGTCGTTCAAGGTCTCAACCATCGATTATTATCATCTCGCGGACCCAAACTAGGTAGTCGACAATTACCGACATGGCTCAGTCCACTCGTCAATGACTTCATGGATTTCTGCCATGTTTTGTTTTGGCCGCCCCTAGCTTTCTTCCAACCTATTCCTACACTACAAAACAAAGCTCGACGAGGCAGTCGGTGGTTAGGCATACGCAACACATGTCCAAACCACCTCAACTGATGAAGTTTCATTACTTCATCTATTGATCTGCCATTCTTACCTAGCACCCGATTCCTAATAACAGCGTTGCACACTCGGGTGTCCCACGATATACGAGCAATGCTTCGAAGACACCTATGATCGAAAACCAGTAGTAACCTTTGAATATCTTCTACTCTCACTGGCCATGTTTCACAGCCATAAAGTAAGACGGAGCGAACCGCTGCACAGTACACTCGTCCTTTAGTCAGCAAACGGATATCTCGCCTACACCATAAGTGACGCAGGTTGACAAAAAAAAAACCCGGGCCGCCTGGGTGAGAGCCAGGAATCCTAACCGCTTAGGAATGCCAGTAGCACCACCAGAGGGGCCCAAGGAGGAGTTTTTAAATAATTTGATGAATCAATCAGTTAAGCAACTTTATTATGCGTAAAAAAAACTGTACAATACAAAAAAAAAAATAATCTACATGTTTTTTTGTTTACTTATTATTATTCTTATTATTCCAAATTCAACATAGTCACATTATCTTCATCATCATCATCATCATCAACGTTTTCAATGTGTTTACGGTGTACAGTTTCTATAATATGATTATTATCTGGATGATACGTTCTTTGAGAAAATATTTGATTCGTTGTATTTGAATTGGTACTGTTGATCATTGAATCTGTATGAAATACATTCATCATTGTATCAAATTCATAAATATCCGTTTTCATTGAATCCATTGTGAATGTATCAGTGTTTTGATTACTATTATTATTATTATCAGTAGTATTGCTAGATATTTCAATAACACCATATGGTAAGAATTTTTTTTTATTCTCAACAAGTTTATGATGCGATTTTATTGAATATTGAATATTTCCTTCTTTTCTGTCCACTTCTTCACCTGCTTCTTCATCATCAGCAGCAGAAGTAGTAGTAGAAGAACTAACAATGTCCATATCATCATCATTATCAGAATAAGAAAATTGATTATCTGTGGGTAGAATTTCACCTTCTTCTCGAATATATAAATCAGTTTCATCATTATTAATATTCATTTGATGCGTTTTATTCTCTAATGATAGAAATGTTGAAGTGGATAAAACTAATGGAGCATTCAATGTGGCTAGTAGAGAGTGATTCAATTCACTAGATCGAGCGTGAGCAGCGGTTAGATTTGCTTCTCTATGTATAGATATAGCTTCTATAACCCATGTGATTAATGAAACAAGACTTTTTGCTTTGGTATTAGCTAAACGAATACATCTGAAAAGATAAATGAAAAAATTTTAATTGTCGCTTATGACAGAGTTATGAAGATTGTTATTTTTTCTATTGAAATTGTGAATCGATCATTGTCACACTACTACCATTAGAAACCTAGAAGCACTATAGATGGACGTTTCGTTCTATAGTATTGGGGCTCTTCAGCAGCACACACTCACGAGCCTATCTCATGGGGAATAGTGTGAATGTGTAACTTTGAGCGATCTAAGGTTTTTGCACAACCTCATCAATTGTCTTCGGTAGTTAGTTACTAGTCTCATACTAGGGTCAAAAACGGCCACCCAGTGCTTCCAGGTTTCTAACGGTAGCCTAACATTGATTCATGATTTCAATTGGTATTCGGTAAAATTTATTTTACATATTATTATCTTTAACAGTAGTAGTAATGTAAGTGTAAATAAACGTAGGTCTAAAAATTTACAGTTTGAACTATAGTTACATAATCATTATTAGACAGATGGTTTGTCCTAGTGTGGTAGGTGCTTATCGCAACTTAGGTTCTGATTAGTAGACAGCGACTGGTTGGATCGGAATGCGTAGAGAGATTTAAATGTTTTGAAAACTTTGAAGACATATAATAAAAGACAATAAATAATTTGCTTATTTCGTTAACTGAAACCTGAAGATAAACATGAATATATCTTGTTAGTAAACAGTACCTTCTATGAATAGATACACTACTATTCCATCCGGTCTTGATATGTTCGTTCATTACACTCGTATTAGATGCATTAATGGTGGGTATGCAACGATCTTACAAGAAATTGAAACCAAGATCTTCTTCAGGACCACCAACTTTTTATTTTCAATAAGTTTTACACGTCGCTAGTAAGTTTATGCTATAAAACCTATATATATATACAGACAAGTATTTTTATATACTGTTCGGTAGCCAAACAGACTATCTTCTACTCTTGCCTTCTTGTTCAAGTGTTCAGTTTGCGGAATTGCGCATATATCACGATCAGACCTAAGACACTGCAAATCATAACAGTACGACGACGAAACGTTGCATAAAATTACTGAACAATACAAGCAACACTTTAAAACATGTATTTATATATAATGATTATCACTGTTACCTTGAAAGTGATGAACATTGAATAGGTACAGATAATCCTGTAGTATATAAACAACATATTTCCGAAGTACTAGTTAAACCAAGTAATACACGTCCACCAGTAAGTATAAGTTCTTCACGAGCAGTAGGATCAACTAGAATTACTTTAGCATCTGCAGTTAAACCAAGTGTAACAAGTACTGGAGTACGACGTATGCTTAAAGGTACTCTAGGTCGAAATTTTGCTTCGAAATCGACTAATACCTAAGTGAAAATTATAACAACAAAATACATATATGTTTGGCATGTTTTTGCACAGATAAACAATTCATTCATACATAATAGCCTAACTATAATTGCCTTTATTTTACTATTAGACTTTATGACAAAAGCCGAATTCGTCCAACATTTTTAATAGACTATGTAAAACGATAAAAAAAAAGCCCTACAATATCACAGATAGTGTAATAATTCAGTAAATGATTTTCAATTTGGATATAATGACAATTTAAAAGTTGCATTACAAAAATTGTTTGTGCAAATCGATTAAAGTTTGAAATCGATTTTAAATTCAGTAAATAAATCTTTATTCTATTATGAAGCAATTGTATAATTCACGAACAAGACCAAAGGTCCTGGCTTCGAATCCTGCGAGTAGCAGGAGTCGTGCGTGCGTAGTGCAACCGATGGGTCTCATACCAGGAGAAAAAAGGCCGTAAAGTGCTTCCTGGTTTTCATTAATGTTTGTCTATCATTGATCAATTCATGTAGGCGTCCTACAATAGTTGTTTTCCTGGACCTAAAAGCGGCATTTGACTCGGTAGATCGTGAGGTTCTGTGGCAGTGTCTGTCATTGAAAGGTGTACCAAAGAAGTACATTAACCCTATACAAGCTCTTTACTCGAACACCACTGGTCGAGTGAGAGCTTATGGCGAACTGTCACCGTAATTCTCTACATCAAGTGGTGCCCGTCAGGGATGTCCACTTTCTCCATTCTTGTTTAATTTTATCATAGACATGCTCCTAGACATAACATTATCCTCGTCTGAATTTTCAGGAGTAGACCTTTTACCAGGTGGCTGGCTTATTGACTTAGAATATGCCGATGACATTGTCCTACTTGGTGAAGATGCTGACAAAATGCAGTCTTCTGACAACCCTAAGCAACAATGCAAGCATGTTCGGGATGCGGTTTTCCACCTCGAAATGCAAAATGTTGCTTCAAGACTGGGTTGCATCGGCACCTGAACTAGTGATAGGGAATGAAGTAGTCGAACGTGTAGACCGCTTCACTTGTCTGGGGAGTCTCATCAGTGCTGATGGCATGGTGACTGACGAAATCTCAGCTCGGATACAGAAGGCTCGATTGGCTTTTGCCAACCTGCGTCACTTATGTCGTAGGCGAGATATCCGTTTGCTAACCAAAGGACGAGTGTACTGCGCAGTAGTTCGCTCCGTCTTACTTTATGGCTGTGAAACATGGCCAATGAGAGTAGAAGATATTCGTAGGTTATTGGTTTTCGATCATAGGTGTCTTCGAAGCATTGCTCGTATACCGTGGGACTACCGAGTGAGCAATGCTGTCGTTAGGAAACGAGTACTAGGTTGGCAAAAGCCAATCGAGCCTTCTGTATCCGAGCTGAGATTTCGTCAGTCACCATGCCATCAGCACTGATGAGACTCCCCAGACAAGTGAAGCGGTCTACACGTTCGACTACTTCATTCCCTATCACTAGTTCAGGTGCCGATGCAACCCAGTCTTGAAGCAACATTTTGCATTTCGAGGTGGAAAACCGCATCCCGAACATGCTTGCATTGTTGCTTAGGGTTGTCAGAAGACTGCATTTTGTCAGCATCTTCACCAAGTAGGACAATGTCATCGGCATATTCTAAGTCAATAAGCGAGTCACCTGGTAAAAGGTCTACTCCAGAAAATTCAGACGAGGATAAGGTTATTTCTAAGAGCATGTCTATGATAAAATTAAACAAGAATGGAGAAAGTGGACATCCCTGATGGACACCACTTGAAGTAGAGAATTCCGGTGACAGTTCGCCGTAAGCTCTCACTCGACCAGTGGTGTTCGAGTAAAGAGCTTGTATAGGGTTAATGTACTTCTTTGGTACACCTTTCAATGACAGACACTGCCACAGAACCTCACGATCTACAGAGTCAAATGCCGCTTTCAGGTCCAGGAAGACAACTATTGTAGGACGTCTAAATGTGTGTCTATGTTCCAGGACCTGTCTGAGTGTGAAGATGTGGTCTATACAACCACGTCCAGGTCGAAAACCAGCCTGGTTTTCTCGAGTCTGCTCTTCACGAGCTTTCGTTAAGCGTCGAAGTATTATTGAGGCCAATATTTTAGATACTATATTAGTTAGACTTATTCCCCTGTGATTGTCACAAAAAGACTTTTGTCCTTTCTTATAGATTAGGACAATCAAGGATTGAGACCAGTCGGATGGGATTACGTCCAGTTCCCAGATTCTACCTAAGATCTCGGTCAACCTAGTTGCTAAAACTGGACCACCATCCTTATATAACTCAGGGGTCAGTCTATCAGGACCTGCAGCTCGTCCTCGTTTCAGATTTCCTAACGCTTTCTCAACGTCATTAAGACTAGGGGACTTAAGTCGATTTGCCATTCAGGATGACTGGAGATCGTGGGTAACCGAAGAGTGGCTCGTGGCCAGTTGAACTGATCACTAAAGTGTTCTGCCCATCGATCCAGTCTCGTAGATTGAGAATGAATAATAGTCCCGTCATTTTCTGAGATAGTCTCACTTACACTAGGATTCCTAATACCAGCTTCCTTGATAAGTCGGAAAAGTTGTCTACTGTTGCCGATTGCCGCTGCCTTTTCCATCGCTATTGCTTTCGCCACCCGTTGAGTAATAGTAAGTTCATATACTATTTGTTTACTTAGGATGGTGGAGCCCATGTACACCATTTAGTTTCAAATTAGGTTTCGAAACTCCCATAGATGAACCTCCATATTCATCAATCCGATTTAAGCCACGCCAGAGTCGCTTTTCACCGCCTAATGTTCGTGAACAATACCGCCTATAAGACAAGGTAGTGAGGGTTTCGCTGATAGTGGCTATACATGCGTGGCCATATGAGAGCATTTGGAGCAGGAGAGCGAACTCTTCCTACTCTTCATTGTACCAGATCTCACACAACATTAGTCAATTTCTTTTAGAAATAAATTACATGGAATGATTAGTTCGCTTGGTGATTTAAAGCAATTAGTGTTGAACCGCAAAGAAATAGGTTCAAACCCGTTTTTGCTATGAGTATCTGAGTGATACCATCACAATCGCTCATGCAAAAAAAAAAAAAAAGATGCAGTTCTAAATCAAATGTACAAACTGTAGTACAGCCATTGACCAATATCTCATTGAAACTACACACTTTAAACAAATAAAATAATAATAGTCCTATTGATGAGTTAATTAACCGACTACTTACTATATAAACTAAACTAATCAATATTTAAAAAGCTAACCTCTACTCACTTTACCCGTATCATCAACATATACATCCGGTCGACGAAATGCGGCTAAAGCAGCAACAGCGGCCAATGCACCACAATCACCTAAATTACCATCATAAGATAAAGCACGCAATTCAACTCGTACAGCAAATACACGTTCCCAAGCAACTATACATAAGGCATCCAGATCAATACTATCTCGAAGTAATGTTTGAAGAACAGTTGACAGTCGACGACCTTCATCATCATGTTTTTGTTTATGATATAAAGCTATTGAAAAGAATAGATAATTAGAAAAAGACAAATACTGAATTAAAAATATAATTTATATGCAAAATATATAAGTGATAGTTACAAGGAATGTGATACTACCCGATATTCCATAATTCTTAGCCTCAAGTAGATGACTACATATTTATTAGGGGTGTACTCACTTCGGCAGTACACAAACAGAGAAGATTAGCGTGGCCCCTGTGCAGGGATGACACACAAAATCGTGAAGCGTTCTATATTTTTAACTCCACCTGGAGCCCTTCTAGGGTTACTTCCGGTCTCAAGCTCGGATAAAGGAGGAAGATTGGGCATGAGGTTAGCAACTCCATTCCCGTAAAAATCCAACTCGTTAAAAAAACGCTAACTAGGAAAACGATTCCCTAGTCGGCGGCCTATACTCTATTAGTGGTAACAGGCGTAAGTAATATTATTAGTCATGTATATGAACTGAGAAAAATTTTTCTTATTTTAGATTCTAATGATTACTTAAAAAATATTTACCGAAAAAATTTACATCATTCAGATTCCTTCGATAAACCAGAGTCTGAAATTTCAGAAAGAATTCAAAAAACTGGCTTAACTTTTGTCGAATGGCTTCATTTGATGCAAAAATGAGATGCCTCTCTACCAAACAAAGGAACCGTGAAATACTCAGCAGTTCACTCTGCATTACCCAGTACCTGAAATATAGTCATTAAAAGTCAAATATATGTAGACTAAAAACATCTAAACATCGATATCTTTCAAGAAATGCTCGTGTATGCCGAGGCCATTGTGTGAGAAATGTTAAGACTATAATAGGCTACTAAGCAAATGTGGCAAATCGGTTGATGAAACTACGAATGCTAATGAACTGACCTATCTGGGACATGTGTTACGTATGCACTACCAAATACTATCAAATACTAGTAACCTACGAATATCTTCTACTCTTGCCGGCCATGTTTCACAGCCATATAGGAGAACGGGGCGAACTGCTGCGCAGTACACTCGACCTTTGGTTAGCAAATAGACATCTCGCCTACGCCATAAGTGAAGTAGATTCGCAAAATCCAATCGAGCCTTCAGTATCCATGCTGAGATTTCGTCAGTCACCAGGCCACTAGCAGTGATGAAACTCCCGAGTTAAATGAAGCGGTTTACACGCTTGAGTACTTCACTCCCTATCACTAGTTCAGGTGCCGATTTTTTAAATTACTTTCTAAACTATACTTTCTTATAATAGAGTTATTGAAGTTGTTGTTTATTATTGAAATAATGAATCGATCAATGTTAGACAGTCATTGGAGAATCCAATCCTGAAACATTAATTTGGATTTGGAGAGGCAGAATCGTATCCCGAGAACATGCTGGCATTGTTGCTTAAGGTAGTCAGAAGACTGCATTTTGTCAGCATCTTCGCAAAATGGAACTATGTCATCTACACATTCTAAGTCGATAAGTGAACCTTCTGATAGATAATCAAGTCATAAAAAGTCAGATGATGGAAGTGTTATCTCTAAAAGCATATCGACGACAAAGTTAAACAGGGATACTAGATAAGTTGATGGTTAAATTATATAATACAAATTAAAAATGACATATCAAAAACTTACATTTAGATAACTTTAAAATACTAGCATCAAAGTGTACAAACAACATTCCTTGAGAAGGTCGAAAATGTTTAGGCTCAATTACTTCAACCGAAACTTTCGCCATTACAGTTGTAGAACCTATTTTGACAACACAACAACCAGAAACACTAGGATCTTTTCCCTGAGGAAAGCGAAAGCTGATTTCACGATATTCGTTTGTTGACCTGCCATCTAGACGATATCCAGATATCAGCATCTCTGTCAGTGTATTTACTTCTTGTGTAGGCAACATAGTTATGAAATGTGCGTAACTAACTGACAGATAAAAAGAGATTTATATAATATCAACGTAAAGTAAATTATTATATGAATAATAAACAGATTCATTACACTATTAGTATCAACAGCAAATAAGATACTTTTTGTACCACCAGGAAATCGATTTAAGTCTTAACCTGGTTGGAGTCCACGAAAAAACTTTGGTCAGTGGTTGGAGATGCTAGATGAAGTGGTTTAGAACTAGTTTTCACTTCAGCTTTTATCATAGTCTAGATCATGATCTGCAGTATTCCTTTCTAAACACTTATCATTCTATCTTCCTGAACCATACTCTCAAAACTTAATTTTCCTTATTATTATTATTATTATTATTATTATCATTACGAGCATCTAAAAGAACTACGTTTGTCTTGAGAAAAGCTTATAATATGACAAACAAACGACCCTGAGCACATTATATCAAATTCATAGTAAAATATTTATCATTACTGGGATAGTGCAAACTTTAGTCTAAATGCTGTAAAGTTGGACAAGATCATTTGAATGAATACCACAGGTTATAAGACTTGATTATGCTTTTTTATGGACCAGTAAAACCAAAGTATGTCATAGTGAAGGCAGAAAAGCTAGTGAAAACAAAAATAACAAACTGCGATAAAACGGGAGAATACACGGACCACTAAATGAAGGTCTAGTGACGAAAAGCCTGGATAGGAAAAAAGGGTGAAGTAGTATTAGATACAATGAGCGAACTTTTAAAGGATTTGCAAACAAATACAGCTTTTAAAAATACTTAAACGAAGAAACTGTTAGTAATGATACCACGGAGGACAAGTTTCATCAATTTGACATACAAAGATGTTAGGATTGTGGATTCAAGATAGTCTCGACTTGGAGGCACTGAATATTTTCCTCGCCTACTTTATACGCATTAAAAATTATTTAGAAAAATAGTGACAATTTATAATTTTTAAGGAGTTGCAGTCACAGAAAGCAATCCTTAACGTGGGAAAATAATAAAAGATGATATGTCTACTCCAAATAAATTACACATGTTTGGCAACTACACTTAAGCACAGAATGAATTACATGAATATACTGGTAAACGCGGTGAACGGGTAGCGCAGGCTTTCAATCTTGCGCAATTCCTAGTATTAAAAATCTAATATCTTTTCATGTGCGAGTAAAAATCAGTTGATTGTTTGTACTGGCTTCTTGTTCATTCAGTAAGATTTCAGAGATATGCTTATGTCCAAAGGACGGTAATCAGTGCAGTCGGCTGTAGTAATTTTCGCCAGTTAAAAATTTATTTCGAGGTTCACGATAGAGTGACGTTTGTGACTTTTCATCATTTCTGGTGTTAGAAAATGTGATTTTCGGCTACTGCTTAACCCTGAAATTTAAACTTATACTGTTTTTTAGTTATGACGGTCTACTAAATAGTAGCTGTTTCCGTACATGTCACCCAGTAGACTCGCAGTGAATACACTTTTATAAAGGTAACGCGTTGGCATGGCATTGAATTGGAACATTAATTATCATAACCGATTGCACCAGTGATTATTTTACTGCAGCTTTTGTCTATTGCACAATATACGCGCAAATTTTCTGTTTGTGTTGCTGCCATTTCATTTCCAGTGTCTCTGTAATATACCCCTCTTTTCTAGCACGATTTCAGTATCCTTTCGATACAACGAAATCTTCAGCAAATATGTTCACTTATATAGATTATTTTATCCTCTCTGTGACAGGCCCGTAATTAGTATGTAGTGGTGATCATAGTCAGTCGCGACTCGCGCCACTATAGACAAAAGAGTTAATTGTGATATAAATTGAATAGTAAAATAAGCTGGATCTGTGTTCAGGTTCAATATGTACTATGCAAGAACAAAACCTGTAAGACACCCGAAAATTTCAACGTTACTTTTGACGGTCCTATCAAAGAGTTTCACATGGATCCAGTAACCTTTCCCGTTCTCGAAAGTGAATGTGTGTATGCATGGTACTTATGAAGCCACATTGATTATATTGGTAATTACCCAACCTTAAATATCCGTTCATCTGAAATTCACTGATGAATTATCGGGAAATATCGCTATGTACTCAGTTTATATGTGAGGGTGGTAGTATTTCGAGGCCATATATAACAACCTAATTTTTCAAAATAAATCAATATCCAATATCTTTTTCATGTGCTAGTTTAAATCGATTGATTTCTTCGCGATATGTACATTTTCCTTCCTTTCGGTTCTAGGTCGATGCTGAAGTCAGACGGATAATGATCTAGCCACTCTGCTGCGCCGATTCCAGTTATCTGACAGTTACTTATGGATTTGTATGTCCCGTGATTTGAATGAGCGTGTTTGTCTCGACTCGGTGGGGTTTCTGAATAGCAAGAAATGTCATATTATCATAACAGAGATCAGTTAGTTGTAGTGTGGAGAATATAATATGTATGATAATATTCCAATGGTAATGAGAAGAGAAAAGTTTCAGAACCGAGAATTTCAGTAAATAAGTAATTAGTTTTGAAGTTAGTGTAAGCAAAGAAGAAGAAACCGAGGTAAGAAGTGAGATCTACTAACTTAGTGATCTGAGAAAATGAAATGAACAATAAAAAGCACGTTTCTTGACATGCATCATGTATAAATGGTCCAAATTTTTCGTATTTTATTTCAGGGTAGACGTTTTGTAAAGCAGATTCATCGGTTCCTAGTTTTAAAAGCATTGGTGATAATAAAAAAATCTTATTGTTCTGAAAAGAAGTGAAAATTTCTATTACTGGTAAAATAAATTTGCTCTGTCCATGTTCATGGAATCAGAGGCACATTTCCTAAGCCTGTTATAAAATTATTAGTATTCAGGTTTTAGCTTCTAATACATGCTTGCAGTTATCACATTCCTGTTATTCTAGGTAGCTCAATGAGATTTTATGATGTTCAGGTTCATTTCTGTTTACCGCTAAATTCGGAATCAACTTGAAGTTACTTGTCACCCAATGACATTTTCAGTAAAAAGGGTTAAGATGATACGGACATCATAACAACCTATAAATGCTAGCTTTAATGCAAGGAGACAACAATACCATGACTTGGAATAACAGTGTAATTGTAGACCACCAAAGTAGGTGATACGTGTCATTGGCTAAGAGCCTACTTAGGTTTGACAGAAGAGGTGTAACCTCCCATCTTACGTCAAAGTCACGCCTCCTACTTGATTCCTTGCAGGAATGATACCATCTTCATAACCAAGTTATTTGCCAGAAAAAATAATCTTCATAGGCAACAGAATATATTGACATTAACAGTTAAAAGAAGTAAAACGTTGAACTACCGCTTCCACCTGTCCACAAAATGCGATTGACTGATGCACGTTGAATTCTATTACCCATGGTTAAGATCGGTACACTGTTTGACATCCACTGACTGAACTGTTAATTGCCTTGACTAGGACCCGGTAACATTTCATGGGTCCTATATACTTAAACAAAGCCTATGGTAGACGGATGTATACTTTACCACAGTTATTATTCAGATATAGAGAGGTTTCTAATATAGGCCGAGCAAGGATATGTCCATTATACACGATCGAACTCAATCAACATCTCTTTCTGATAAAAGTACAACCAAGTTACAACCACCCTAAAAATGAACTGGATCCTAAAAGGTGTTTATTATTGTCACTTGTGTTCGTTCGAAGGTTTCTAGTTAGATAAGTATTACTTTCTCTTTGCATTTCCAGTATTCGTTTCAATGTTCAGTCAATCAGACCTTGCCCAACTGCCAATATTTTCTTACCGAAGTTAATAATTTTTGTGACAGTCGGAATTGGTGATTTACAAGCTCCTAAACGGCCTGAAAAAACATGCATGCAAGAATTTTGTAGGCCAATTACGGATTAGTTTTGTAGATCGTCCTAACTATTAGTAAGTCAGTGAGATCGAAAACTTTGATTTCATTCCAAGAGATTGTATTATTCAAGCCTCTACAACTGAAACAAGAACTACGTAAACTGGACTGAAACGTTACTGGCCCATACGCACTTATCAAACAGGAGATGTATTTATCAAGGCCCAAAATTTAGGATTTTATATGATTCGGATAACTGGAGAGTACTTAGCCACACTATTAATCAGTTCCTAGTGTCCAGTTCTGTTGTGGACGTTAGATCTCCGGAACTCTCTTGATAAATGCCTTAGTTTCGGATTTCACGTTTGCGAGCATGAGCTGATCAGTTCACCTTAAGATTTCACTTCCCACCGGGAAATTCCTAAGCTGTGATTGGCTGCTGTGTATTTTAGTGTGCTACTTTTGTGAGTGTTCCAAAGACGTTTCTATGATGTATAAATAAACGAGATTTGTGTGCTTGATTGCACTGTACTTGCTGGGTGTAGCAGGGGCAGACTGACTTGATCCACTGTAGTCACGATGCAGCTTCATAAGTATCAACATCTTTATAAGTTCAGCTGTAATATTTCAAGTCTCGAAGGATAAATGTAATCCCATCGCCAATCGTAACGCATGAACGTAAACATGTCATTTTCATATGCTTGAACTATTATGCGTTTACCTTAGTCGAGAAATGAGAGCGAGGATCGAGTGTCCGGCGATACGACATGCTACTCTAATATGAGTGTCCGAACCCACATTGAATAAAAGAAGACTTGATATGAAGTAGAACCTGTATTCTACAAGCATCCAGAAGGTACGAGGTCCGAGTCCAGAAGAGAATCAGGATCCGGACTAGGGATCCGGGTCATAAAACGTTACAGATAATGCGTATATATACAGTCAGGTCTAACAGGAAACAGCATCGAAGTCTGTCACATTGTCAGTCAAGACTACCAATAGGAAACAACATCCGAAGTGACATTCATAGTCAGGACGACCAATAAGAAACAACATTGGAGTACGTGACACTGGTATCTAGGACGATCATAAAATTGACCAGTAGGAATTAACCAATAGGAATTGACCAATAATAATCTTAGGATATTGGATGAATATCCTTAAAATTTCTCACAGGTGTATAGATTTAAGATTTCAGACTATAATTAACCCGACTAAAGATTTTACATTGTAACGCGTTGAACAAAAGGTTAGAAGACTTGAAGGTCTTCCAAAAGGTAATGCCTAGTCTGCACTTGAAGCTATTGATGTGAATCGTAACAAACAACGGAATCAATTTATCATAAGTTGCCTAACCTCAACGCGAATAATTCACATCAAATCAGATTCTAATGGAAACCAAATGTATCTATTTATCAGTACCAAGACCTAAACGGGTAAACCCGGAAGAAGCTTCATTTCTAGGGTTTAGGGGTTTAAAATCTTAGATTATCATCTCTGAGAACCAAAATCTTTCTCGAGAACAATCGATCGTTGCCGCAATAATGGAATCAACAAGCTTATCAGATTTTCATGCTCGTCGACGTCATGAATGGAGGACGAACCTCGTCCGATGATTTTGTTGCACTTAGTTAACGCCAAATATATATATCCTCATTATGGTTCGACTACACATACGGTACAGGTTATGTATGAATATGACTGTACATGCTTCAGTGTTTGATATGTGTATCCTGATCCACATGATCTGGTATATATCAAAAGTCCTTGATAATAACGTCAATATCAGTAAATAAAGCTGATAGACGTTCAAGTTTTAATATCGTTTGTTTGGAATTAATGATTATGTAGTTTGGTCATTGTCGCGGTAGGGTTATTCATGCCTAAATTGAGAATGGAATAAAACATAAATAATTAACCCTTACTACCAAACTCAGAACCGATGAATGAACTTTGACACTAAACTCTTTATTCAAAAATTTAAGTCCAATTCACTGGTACAAAATACTGAACGATATTAATCACAGTCGTCTAAATAATAGTGATGAGAATAAATTTCATCCATGCTTTCATTGGATTTTCTCTCTGATTCTGAATTTCAACCATGAACTGTAGTTCCCCAAAAGAAATACAAAGCACCAAGGCAATGTGGAGACGTTGGAGCCAAAAGCAAGGAATCTTATTATGAACAAACGAGATCATTCTTGTAAACTTCTCTGAGAGCCATTCAGTTCTGTGATCAACCTTGTTTGGATGTATAGCATGAAGATTCTTTGAGCTGGCTTTACAAAAAAAATATGAAAATTCT